GATATACCCCCACTAATGTAGTGCATGCCTGACAAGATCTGGCATTCATAGTGGATATGCCCCCACTAAGTAATGGGCATGCACGTGAGGTGGCGTGAGATAACACTATTATCACTGAAATATAAGTTCACAAGAAAACATGTGGAAACGAGGTGTGAATGTGATTACAGTCATTAGACACCTCTATCAAATGCTATAAAAAACCTTACCCTCCAACTCATTTTCTGTCTTTGTGCGCGTAGTGATCCACTTGTCTCCACTCCTGAAATTAAAAAAGGAGTTCTTTTTCAGTCTCATCCCTCCACTCCAATTCTGGGTCCTTTAGAAATGAGCTAACTTATTGATGAGTTGAAATTGTATACATATTAATGTGAAATTGTTGTCTTGATATTATTGATATTTGGATGAGTTTTATGAGATTTTACTAAGTTTTATGAGACTTTACATGATTTTCATTCTTTGTGCAGAAAAGGATTTGAATGCATAAAATAAGAGTTTTTAAGATTTATTGAATATTTTCTAAAAGTTGAGGGACTGAATTGCAAGAAGAAGGGCCGCCATTTAGAACCTAAATGAATGAATCTTGAGTTTTGGGATCCAAGTGCTCATAGTACAAAATATGGAGGACCAGATCTGCTATTTTACCATTGAAGAAATTGCAAAAGGACCAAAAAGCCGACGCGGGTGTAGTGTCGACACGTAACCGGAGTGTTGATACTATGCGTTAAATGTCCAGAATCAGATTCTGTTTCCTATTTTGTGTCAACACGTAATCCGAAGTGTAAGCACCACGCAATCAGCATCCAAAATTCAGTTTCCTATTTCTGTTTCAAGTCCTACTTCTATTTCAATTAGGGTTTTTAAAATTTTATAAATACCCATTCAAATTCAGAAATATCAGAGTTTTTGAGAGGCTAGTGACAGCCCTCTTTTGGGCATTATTGAAAATCAAGATTGAGGTTCCATCAATAATAAAAGATCAAGAGTTTGATTTCTTTAAATTAGATTTTGTTTTTTCTTAGGTTTTTATTTATTGTTTGATATTTGAATGTTCATAATTTTAATTTCATATTTTATTATTTTTATTATGAACTGATTTATTCTACTAGGGTTACGATATAGCCTAATAAATTCAATATGGATTTAGTGATTTTATGCTTTTAATTAAAGTTATTTGCATGAAGAGTTTATATTATTAAACTTAATACATTGGAAGTCTGATCACTTTTCAATTGATTTAGTGATTTATGCATGAACTTAAAAAAGAATTACGTAGATTAGACCAATAATAATATAAATCGTGTGTTAGACTATGAAACCGAGAGGTAATTAGCTCACATGTAGAGGAAGAGAAGAGAGTTAGGAGCTCTCCCTTCTTAAGCTAGAGGTTTCCATAGAATTTAATGCTCATAAATTTGTTTTAAATTACATAGAGATATGATTAATTTAACAAATAAGTGAAAATTTTACTTGACTTGAGAAAGCTAGTTAATTAATTTAGGGAAATCCGCTATCACATGCAATAACACTTAACAATTTGGTAATCATTGATTATGGTGAAATCAATACCTTAGTACCTCATATCTTGATTAAGTTTAATTTAATTATTATTTTCCTTTTATTATTTTTTTAGTTAAACTTTCTTCCCATTTGGTTGTTCAAATAAATTTGAATTAATTATTTGGGTACTTAGTTAGACACAATCCTCGTGGGTTCGACACTCTTCTGATCATTATATTACTTGGAGTGACTAGTACACTTATTACGGTGATTTTAGTGCATCAAGTTTTATGATGAAGTCATTGCCTTAATACTTCATATCTTGGTTAAATTTTATTTAATTGTTATTTTCCTTTTATTATTTTTTTAATTAAACTTTCTTCTCGTTTGGTTGTCCAAATAAATTTGAATTAATTATTTTGATACTTAGTTGACACAATCCTCATGGGTTCTCATCATTATATTACTTGCGATTAGTACACTTGATAGGATAATTTTAGTGCATCACTTATATGCAAAGAGGCTCTGGAAAGTGGAAAGCTCACTCTGGATTAGGTGAGTTTGAATTTTAAAAGTTTGGTTTTTTGGTTAATGGAAGGATATTCGATTGTTTCTGTAGAGATTCTTTGCATCCTAGTATGTTGAATTGGATTAAGAATCCGCTTGAAATTGACTGAAATGGGTGTAAATTTCCAATATGAAGATAGTTGAATCTTGGGTTCTGGTTATCTTCTTTCGTGGTGATTGCTAGGTTTCGGTTTCATTTCTGGTTTCAGTGATTTCATATGAATCTGATTGTTCTGGGTGTCAGGATTTGACCTTGATTCTGAATGAGATGGCTATTATGAAAGTAACAT